AGCAGAAAAATAAAGCACACTAAATCTTGATATACATGATTAAGGCATCAGCTTTAAGGGAGAAAACAATAACTTATTTTGTAAAAATTACAAGTTAGCCTTTTAGCTACAAAAAAAACCTCCCAGACGATCTCCACCAGCATTACTGCAATCTCGTAGATCTTAAGATATTGCTGCGGCTATAAATAAAAAAGGAAAAAATATGCTCTCAGGATGTAATGTCCTCTCACTTCCCTCAGCACCAAATTCAAATGTCATGGTAAAATGTAGTTGAATATCCTCCTTCTATAGTATTTTCGTGGGGGTGGGGGGGGTTAATGCATTATGTGAATCCTGCCTGTTCAGTCGATAAAGTTAGGGACAATTACGTGCTATCCTTTGCTGCAGGATTTGGTTTGATAAAATAGACACTCTGGTCCTGGCATGGTTAGTGTACTGCAGGGGTGCTCAAGTCCAGTCCTCAAGAGCTACCATCCTGTAACTTTTAGATGCATCTCTTCTCTAACACATCTGAATTGAAAGGCTCAATCCCCTCATTTAGCCCAACAGAGGCATGGTAATGAGCCACTCATTTGATTCAGATGTGTTAAAAATGGTGTGCATCAAAAAGTTGCAGGATAGTAGCTCTTGAGGACTGGACTTGAGCACCCCTGGTGTACTGGAACACTGACAGCCTAACCCTAACCCTCCAAGTGGGTTGTTCTGTCTGCTAAAGACACATTTTAGAGTCTCTGTACTCCAATTAACAATTAATCGATTACTAAATTAGCTGTCAATCATTTTAATAATTCCGATTAATTGTTTGAGCACCAATGCACATGCTCACATTAACCTTCTTATGTAGACTAATGTGTCCAAATCCAATGTATTTTTACAGACACCTCTATGTAATCATAAGATTGTTAAGATGAGTAATTTTAACTGTAATATCTAGAATTTGGGGTGAAATGTACCTATATACTTATACGTATTTATATTATAACATATTTATAAGCATATTTCATTTCAGCATTGCATGAACAAAGGTTTGTTAATAATTACAGTGTTTTGATGCTACTTTTGTTAGTGACTTATATCTTTGCCCTGCTGTTATCCATTTCTTTATTAGACTAAATAGAATTAAACAAACAGTATAAATCACAACACCAGGGGCTCAGTGCATTCAAATCATATACATGCAATATACACCCATATAACATAGAACAACATGAAGTTAATTACATACTGATTAAAACCTGGTTATGAAAAATTAAACATCTGTGGGTTTATATAAAGGAGCAATCCAAAGGCTGTAAGCCAAGAATGACTGGTTTATTAACACTGTTTGGGAAAGATACTACCAAGATGTAATATATTCCATATTTATAAATTGACTTTTTTAGAAAGTAATATGTTTGTTTGTAATATTACAATCTCTATAAAGTTAAAAGGTAAATGTAAATATAAATCCCTCTATTGTCCCACATTGGGGAAATTCTACATTTTCCCTTTGGGAAGCAGTGGGCTGCCATTGTGCAGCACCCAGGGTGCAGTCTGGGGTTAAGGGTCTTGACTTACTGACTACTGATTACTTTTTAGTTACTTTTGGCAAAATAAAAAATTAGGACAAAGGTTTACAAAATGAAGGTTTGCAATGTTTTGTCATGAATAGCTGAATGAAAAATATGATATAGAATAATGAAACAAAAAAAACTTAACTCAACATGACACCTTTGTTTGGCAACTACTTAAAGGCTAAAAAACATTTTTTTTTAAAGACTTGTATATAAATTTGGTTGTCAAGGGGTTAAAAGATCTATCTGTGGAAGCCTGTTTATACTTTTGCAAAGCTACACTTGTCATTTGGTCAAACAGGGATTTTTTTCATGACGTTTCGAAATCCCAGCGACTCAGCTGTAGAATACGGAGCCCCCCTGGGTGTCAGGGTAAAAAAAAAAAAAAAAGGGTAGTAGAAAGAGGCAGATCTGGAGAAATCCAACTTTCGTTGTTTAGATTTGCTCACGCCATCATCCTCTGACTTCTTGCTGATAAGAGGTCATTTAGCCTCTAGCTTAAGGTTGCTATGCACTCTCGCTAGGTGTTTTTTTGAGGTTAACTGCGCTTTTCAGCAACTTGATAGTTGCTCAGTTTTTCAAAGACTTGAAATTTGAATGGAGGTTTGCCTGCTAAAGTAACACGTGCAAGGCAAACTATACTGCTAAAGTATCAAGTGGTTTAAGGAAAAATATTTGAATACATTAAACTAAAGCATTATATAGCATTTAGTGCTTCTAAGTTAGTGTATGGATGCAGTCAACTGGTTTTCCTTAGATAGAAAACTCTTTACCAAACTGATTGTGTTTTCTGACTAAATCGTCACTGCCTTGCAATGACAGTGAAATGGCACTGAATAAACTGAACTTCAGGAATTGAATGTGAATCTGCTAAAAAGGCAAAGTACAACACATTTGAACATTCTGTATATTTAACGACCTTGGTTAACTTTAATAATATTGAGATATTGAATTTAGACATTATAATCCATCTATCAATTGTATATATATCTGCTTATTTGTAAGGGTTCTTCCCCCTACAGTATCTTCTGTGCTCACTCTGCGAGAGGATCTGAATGCAATAAGCATGTTACAAACCATAAGTTTATCCTTAATATATAATCTTCATCTTAATATATAATCTTACACAATGAGCCTAAAGTGAACAAATCTATCAAAAAAGCATATAAAAACTTTATTTACTTTCCATTTTTTATTTATAATTTCTGGGTAAATATGCACAGCTCTGAATAAAGTGTGAGTTTGTAGTAACTATTTAGATTTCCCCAGTATCAGTTATTTTAGTAACTTTTTTGACAAAAATAGGGTTGTAGGAGTTACTTGTGTAATTTCAGTGCACCATATATTTTATTTTTACTTAAGGAGTATCTTAACAAAATATCACTACCTTAACTTTAGCCAAATGTTAACAAACAAGGTTGTTAGAACAAGGCTGCAAAAACAGAAAAACATTTGATATTTATGTCAAAATGAGTGTTCTTTTTTGCACACAAGCTTAATTGAACCCATCATGAAAGTAGGATGTAAATCTAATATGCAGTATTTAATTTTATCATGGTAGAATACATTTTGGTTTGGAAAAGTGTCTTTTTTTCTGTGTGGAATATTATTTATTTTAATTACATTATTTATTGGCTTGGTCATTCCTTTGGCTACTTTTTACTATTAATTGAGTAAAAGTATGACGAAATATTGTTATTTTTACTTGTGTACAATTTTTGGGTACTCTACCCACCTCTGTTTATACAAACAGCAGTTCATTATTAAAGAATTAGAGAAGTATTGAAACAATTTTTCACTGTTATTTTGTTCAAATGTTTCAAAAACACTTAGAGATCTACTTGAAATGAGAGGTTTAAATCCTAATATGAAAAAGGCTTGACAAAAATGGGGGTTACAAAATATTTCTGATAGTCTCCTCTATTTCAACAAATTACACAAGTAACAATTGCTCTTTTTTTAGTGCTATTTTTCAGTCAGAAAGTGTGCAATCCAGATTGGGAACACGATCGGCAAAGGGGATGGGGGTTATGGCAGGCATTGTTGCTCATATTCTCAACTGCAGCAGCTTATAGGATAAAAACAGATTATTATTTCTTTGTCTATTGTCGACAAATCTATAAAAAGAGCAAAACCAATGGTGTTTAGTTTGCCTTTCAAACAGTCATAATTTGAGGCTTATCTTTTTTAATCTTCTCTAACCCTCCTTGTTCAGAATGTAAAGTTCTAAAAATCAGGGGAAGTAATCCTGTGGTGGATTTTTTATGGATGAAGTGCTTCGGGTTAATTTTTTTTAGGAATTCTGGATAGAAACAAATTAAGGCTTAATCATTACGGAAACATGAAATGACCAAAGATATGAATTTGCTATTCAATAAAAAAAATACAAAATACATTTTTCTGTATATTTATGAAGCAACCCTTCGATTTTGTGTTCTCACTCTGCCTGTTTCCAGCTTACTTCAAACAAATCTAGTGTGGCCACATAAAAAGAGGATTACCACCATAGAATCACAAGAAGTGAAATCTTTCACATTACTGTATGGAAAATTCAAAAAGTCGTATTGTTTCATGTTATGCAGCCTTTTGATTTTAAATAAATGTCTTAATCTTTTTGGCATGATAGGCTACTGATGTTCTGTTTCAGATTGTTTGTAAGACGCTGAGACTCAACAATATCCTCTGTGTCTGAAGGAAAGTGGACTGGAACAGAATGGAATTTGAAACGTTTTAGCCAAAAATGTTACCTTGGTCAAAGTGTTTTTTGCAGAAACGTTTCAGATTTCGTTTTGTTCTCCAACATCGGGCATATGGATGATGAAGATCCAAGCTGGGAAAGAAGCACTTAATGTATACATGTTTTTAGTATAGCAAAAGTATTGTACTATGTGGACCAATTAAGAAATTAGACTAGGTCGCTTATCTAATAACCTAGGATCCCTTGATTAGAGCACACTCTTCTACATTTGTTTTCTAAATGTCTTTCTTCTTATCAATCTATCATAAAAGTCTTACTTGTCTCTTTGGTTGGATGGATGATTTCCAGATGAGCGTTACGCTCTCTGTTTTTAGATAATATACTGAAATATTTACAAGGGAAAGTTAAAAGTTTACAATGTTGTTTTATAACCTAATCACTGAACGGTGTGCTGTGTTTCCTGGTCTCCAATATAGTGTATTTGTTTTTTATATAAAGCAATAAAATAAAAGTAAAAAATCAAACCACTGGACTTGTTTCCCAAGTTTGAAGACTTTTTGCTTCCCTAAGGAGTGGCGGCCTGGTGGTATAGAGCTTGGAATCCTGAGGTTCTGAGTACGAGCCCCACTCCCACAGCCTGCCACTCTGAGCAAATCTCTGAGCAAGACCCTTAAGTATGTTATCTGTTTAGTCTACCTCAAAGTACCTCCACAACACCTGCATATAGTCTTTCCATGTTCTGTGTACAGGTCGTGGGGTGAAATAGGGCCGAGACTGCCTCATGTGTTGGGATTCCTTTGTGTTCTGGTCCCCACCGACACCCATCTTCCCAGCATCGGTGGGATGTCCCAGGTGTGTCTCCTCTTGGCCCTACTTACGCTCTCCAGCTGCACTGAGGTAAGGTGTTACTAATATTTTCCCTCTCTTTCACACATATAATTAAACACAGCTTTAATCCTCTGCCTAATCCACTCATTCTTGAGTACCTCTTAGTGAAACTGAGACACCAAATAAAGAAAGAAAAAGCCTGTTGTGGTGTTGCTGGAATTTAGCACAGCGCCTTACAGAGCCTTTCCTTTGCAGGAGTCCTTTGCTAACTCTCTGGAGCTTGTGAAAGAGAAGTGGAGCAGCTACAAGAACCAGTGTTTGGACATTATCAATTCCACGCCCCCTGCCACAGGTTAATCAATGGCCTACATTCAGCGAAACTAAATGTCTGAACAACATAACCACCCAGCAAATATTTCTGCTATTTTGTGCATGTTACAGGGTTGGTGTGTAATAGAAGCTTTGATTTTTATGCTTGCTGGCCTGATGGATTTCCTGGTACCACTGTCAATGTCTCATGCCCATGGTTCCTGCCATGGTATCGTAAAGGTCAGTATGGGTGTTCACTGATGGTCTATCATAACACCTGCTAAGAAAAATGAATGAGGTGATTGATTTACACCAAACATTTCAGTAAAGATGCATAATATAACAAGAATAAATAGCTGTAGTTGTTTGCCTTTTTAAAACCCTTGCCTTAGAGTGCTGGGAGGAAAAATGAACTTTATTTAGCCTTATTTGTTCCAGTTGTATTTGTAATGGCCGTTTCCTGGCAAATGAAGGCCAACAGTACTTTGTTCCATTGTATGTTCTCTTATCTTTCCTATTTTCTATGTTTGCCAAAGAGCCTGGTTTATGCTCATAAACCAATGTAAATATGCCCCCCGCCATGATTACACATGTTCAAGGATTAAAGATATTTATGTTCAAAGGAAGAATTGAGCATACTGCTTATTTGGCAAAACCTTAACTTACAATTGATATTGTTCATGCAAATTATAGCCAGAGAAAATGGTATTCTTATAAACAGATCTGTGTGCATTAGTTGTGGAAAAACTATCAACTGCTGAAAGGCACATTTGTTCTATAAAGCATAATTTGTATAGATTCCACTAACAGTGATGCATATGATTTGGTAGAAATCTTTTTTTTTCCAACCCCCTTTCTACTACATAAACAAAAATCATTCAACAAATTGCAGTGTGAGATAATAGTACCACACAAAATCCTATTTGCAGCAAAAGGAAAATTCTAAGATAAGACTGAACCTCCAACTGGAGATTATCATGTGATATCCAATAATTCATAATACTGTTTGATGTAAACACTCTAATCCCTTCCTGAATTTCGTTCTTTCAGGTTCAGCATTAATGACTTTTCCTTATGTACAGTGTGTTTCTATCCAATCCAAAATGGTGTTCATAAGAAAAACATATAAATATGTCAAAAAATTTATTTTGAAACAAATAAAAAACATACTCAAAAAGGTAAAAAAAATATTCTGGAAAATTAAAATGAGACAGGATCATAGTAACAAACCAGAAGATGTTCTTTGTGTCCTGTCGGATTCTCCCATAATTAGAGGTTACGACAACAAGGCGGTGACTTGCTTACAGATTCCCCTCCTTATTCAGTTCCCCCGCAATTCAGTCAGACTGAAACCACTTCACCATGGGGACCCAAAGATATTTTCTATGCTAAAAGGAGTCGTCAGAGACCATCCAAAATAAATAATAATCCCTGGGAAAGTTACAACAACAACAAAAAAAAAAACAACCTAAGACAATGTGTGTGTTAAATTATGTAATTCAATAAAAAAATTTTTTTTTTAAATAAACTCACAGAGAGAAAGAAGACAATTAGAAAAGTTTTATTGAAACAATATTTTAAGACTTTGGCGCTCAGGCCTTGGTGGGGTACATTAACATTGAAATTTACTTTGATTATATGTATGAGCTGCTGAATGAGAACAGGGATGAAGCCCCCCAGGCCTCAGACCAGTGGTGGAACAGAAATTGTATGAAGAAAGATGTCAAGCCGCAGGTTCGTATGAACCTCCGTGATGAGCAAGCATAAAACGACAGTGGGGAGAAAAAAAACTCCCCTTGAGAAGAAATCTTGGGCAGAACCAGACTCAACATGGCGTCTTCTGCCAGATGGGAATGCCTTGTGAAAGCACTATAACCAGGAAATTACTTCAATAGGGGCAGGCAGAAGGAGCCAGATGTGCATTCAAGGATGGTGGAGGATTGAATCAGGGTCATAAGAATCAAGGTCTGACATGCAATTCAACTCAGATAAGCCTTTTACTGCATGGTGGTATGTGATCCAGTTTATTCAGCTGAATTTCTACCCAGGCGTCATTTTGAAACAGATTGGAACTTTACTTGTAAAACTTAGCTGTGTGTGATTCAACGGGTGAGTTGCAATATAATAATATAGATTTGAATGTCTTTTTTTTATAATAAAAGAATTAGAAAGTAAGTTAGGTGTTTTAGATTAGGAGCTAAATATATTTGCACGTTGACAGACTTCAGTTAGCAATTAAAGTACTATTAGGCTGAAAAATACTGTTTAACAAAAATAAAAATATTTGCAATGGAACTAAATAGTGATTACAATATTCCAGAAACAAACTTGTATGATCCTGTATAATCATAATGCTTTATATTTATAGTGAGTCAAGCATATTAGTGTTTACTTTTATACCAAAGTTAAATGCATTCATTAAGCTAGAAATTGTATCGTTCATCTATTTTTTGTCTGCAGATGATGAACAGATTTTTTATATCAGTGAGGTCGACCTGGATAAATGGAGGTTACACACATAAAAAAGGAACAAAGCAACTTTTTTTTTAAAGTACTTTTTAAATACTATGTATAACATCAACTGCACAGTAAGAGCTGTTCTGAACTGTTCAGTAAGATCAGGATTTACACAAACACTCATCAAGGGAAAGAGTTACAGGCCCATTTTAGTGCAATAGTGGGATTTTTCCAATCCACTAAAGTCTTTTTTTGCTCACAATAGAAATTAAATTTTGCCAGTCTTTAAAGTTAGGTTTCATACAAATAGGATAGTATTACACCAGCAGTTTTTCCAAATTTCTAAAGAGGCTTTTCTGTTGTATCTTGCAAGAGCTTTCAATTTCTCTGAAAATCCCATCAAGGATATGGTGCTCATTCAGTATTGTTGATCCTATGGATTGAATGGAAAATATTTGTAATGAAAAAAAACTGAACTCTTTGTGAGTCCTTGCGATTTCATTAAATTAAAGAAAAGAATGCATTAGAGAAAAGAATGCATAACATGAAAGCTGCAATTTGTTGGATGAGAGATAAATTAAGTGAGGTCTATTAGTTTAAACTCTGAAGGTTAGATATTTTTAGGCCTTTCACAAATGATAAGGAATTGGACTTCTCACAGTCATACTTTTAAAAAGGCTATATGAAGGACTTCAGTGGGCGATGGACGCAATCTCCTATTCGAATTGAGGGAGTAACCTTCAGGTTTATATTACTTAAAGATATAACTGAAAGATAACAGAAAGAACCTCTTAAGATTAATGATCATATCAGTGTACGACTAAAGCATCTTCAGCTAAAGATTTGTTTGACAATGATTCAGCTCTTGCAGGTCAAAGTAAGGTGATTTCTCACAGGTAGATATAATTGTCGTTACCTAGGCATTTTACAGCTGGTCTGTGATTTAAAAGCTAATAACATAAAACAGCAGAGATTGTATTATTTTTAAACTATAACATGGCGATCTAATCTGTTTTGTTTGAACTTTCTAATAATTCAGATTGTGATATAGATTATTGTGCAGATTATTTGTCTTCTGTCATACAGATTATGTATTGCAAACCCTATAGATGCTTTTAGGTCAACTTCGTAGTGGTGCTAAGAAAAAAAAGATTATTGATATTATCTAAATATTCTACATCAATTTGTGTCCGAAAACTATAGGCATGATTATGATGGGAAACCGTATGTTTATCAATTTCTGGCATTTTAATAATCCTTTTTTGAGATTTCTGTTAAACGGATATAAAGATCTTCAATCTGATCCTAAGGGTAAAACATTTCAGCTCTATCTGTCGAGAGTCATTTTATATCCCACAGATCATATATGTTTTGTAGTATGAGACCTAATAATAGATATATTTGATAAATCCTTCCCGTCTTTATTAGTGTTTTTATATAGAATCATATAGAAATAGCAAAGCGAGCTTATAAAAGTGATTAAATCTGTTGAAATTAGTCTGATCAAAAATTAGTTGTGCTGGATATAAAGGGGCTTGTTGAATATTAGAGTTATCTGTTTTTGAGTCCCATATTTTTAAGTAGGAGAAGAAGCCATTCTTGTGTTACATTTTCTGTGTGAGGTTACAAAGAGAAATGGTGACACCACAGAGAAAATATTGACGTTTTTTTGTTGTTTTTTTAAAGCTCTGTACAAAGGCACAGCATACTGGCTATTTAAAGGCTAAGTTTGTGCCGCTATTTCAACTTCTTCTGAGCAATCTGAAATGTTTGAAAAAGCTCCTTGTTATTACTGATGATTCTATTAATGAGAAATAAAATAGTATTTTGCTTTTTCAGCAGCTGAACACAATATGAAGTTCTCCTAGATAGGTTCCCACGCAATTCAGAGATATTTTCTTGCATTGCTGAACTATTTAGTTATTGTCTTTATTTCTGTCTAAATTGTTCAGAGTTTGGAATAAATCCCGTCCTCATTTGATGTATCATGTATCTTTGTAAACAGTTCAGCGGGGTCTGGTCTACAGGATCTGCCATGAAGACGGTAAATGGGGACAAAAGAACACCACAGAATGTGAGGACGATTCTGGTGAGGTGTGTGAAATCAGTTATTAAGATGGTCATAGCTTCTTTCTTTCATAGATGCTCAGGGAACTCTTTGACTTTCTGAAATCCTTTTCTGACAGCATATGAAATCTTCTCATCTGTTCATACAGCACCTTTTTCTACAGTTTGCACCAAACAATGTTTTTGTGTCTGGTGAGAATGAACACTATAGACGTAACGTTCTTTGTCTTTCATTCGTGTTTGCAGAATCAGTATGGTCGCATTCTCAGCAAGCTGCGTATCGTGTACACAGTGGGCTATTCACTTTCACTTGGAGCCCTGCTCCTGGCCCTGGGGATCCTCATCAGCTTCAGGTAACATTATTGATAGAACATAAAGAGATAGGCAGAGGGATGAAGTGAAGAGAGAAAATCAATATCTAGAAAGAAGGTAAAAAAGCTGGGAAATAAAAAAAACATTTTATTAAAGAAATATTGACATAATTTGGGCATTGAAAATGATGAGGATATAAAAATGCAAGAGAGAGCATTAGCAAAGAGTAATTTTCCCAAAATTCACAGAATCTTTTGATAATGAGTGAAAAAGAACATTTATTTAAGATAGAATAGCTTCCTAAGCCAACTTGGTGGTTTATGCAAAAATGTAAATGTCTTTTACAAATAAGATGTGGTCATGTCATCCCATGTCTGCCAGCACTAGCTACTGTCAAGTATTTGTGACAGCTAGCAAAGTCGTTTAGCCCTCTCTTATCAGATTACTTAATTAAGGATTTTTAAGCCAATATCACTTTTAGGAAAAAAACATTTAAAAGCTTTGATTTTCTCATGAGCCATATAGTAGTGGACTTGCTGGTGGGCTCTGTACCTTTGTCCTGCCAATAAAATGAATCGTGCCTGCGCTTGAGTTCAAACACTGATACCAAATATGTTCTGCTACAGAACACAATTCAACCTTATATCAACAATAGTAACATCCTCGGGTCTTGAGAGAGCAAAGCAGCACCACACTTTATGTTCAACTATCTGTCTGATGTTCTATTATTCTGCAGTGATATGAAACGTCCACATTTAACAAACTATTTCCCAAAAATGTGTTTCCCCTGTGCACAGAATATTTTTCAACAATCTTTAGAACCCATTAATATGTTTTTAGTAAATATAAGATATTTGTGTTATTTTTGGGAAGCAGTCATATTTGCCTTGGTCTTCTGGCATTGTTTATTTTTTTGTCCATTGCCTTTCATATCATTCAATTATTAATGCTAAGCTTAACTGATCCATCTGAGGCAGAGATGTTTTCATTATGCCGTTATTTGAAAGAACTAATAAATTCCTTATTCTTAGTTTATGAGCACCATATTAACCATAAAGCTCATTCTGATTCTAATTTTGATTTTTATTTATCTTGCTCTCCTGCATAATACCAGAATGCTAAATACTGTTCTACTCTAGATGTTTTCTATTTGTAGAAAATGGCTCAAACTCTTATAGGTTGATTTCCAAATCTGCTCATGGCTTTTAATTTTTATCTTCTTTACAGTATCTATACCTGAATGCAAAATATTTTACCTTCAAAATCTTAAAGGCATACTATGCAACATTTTTCAGTTAATTAATGTGTTCCATAACGTTTTGGATGATTAAATGAGTCATTTCAGGTTGAACAAAGGTATTCTCGGCCGCCCTGGTGGTCTGTGGGGGGAAATACCGCACTTGCAATTGCAGGAGCACCGGCCCGCACCCACAGGCTCAGAAGTC